GATCACGAGGTCAGGAGATCAAGACCATCCTGGCTAACACAGTGAAACCCCGTCTCTACTAAAAATACAAAAAATTAGCCGGGCGTGGTGGCGGGCACCTGTAGTCCCAATTACTTGGGGGGCTGAGACAGGAGAATGGCATGAACTCAGGGGGCGGTGAGACGAGATCGTGCCACTGCACTCCAGCCTGGGCAACAGAGCGTGACTCAGTTTCAAAAATAAAATAATAAAATAAAATGCAAAATTTTTAAAAATTGTGGTGTTCTTGCTATAGTGGTAAAAAAGTGTTTATTTTTCCCTTTGTCTTTGTTGTTGCCTTTTAGCTATCATGCCAGGTTCTGAAAAGATCAGGAGACTAGTTGAAGTCTTGAGAGCTGATGTAATTCATGGCCTGGGAGTTCAGCTTTTAGAGCAGGTGTATGATCTTTTGGAGGAGGAGGATGAATTTGAGAGAGAGGTGAGTGTCTCATTAGCTGTGTCAAGCTGCTTATGTTATAGAATTTTTTAAACAACCTTTTGAAATCTAAATCACACATAACAATTCACTCATCTAAAGTGTACAATTCAGTGGTTTTTACCGTGTTTACAACATTGTACAATCATTACCATAATAGATATTAGAATATTTTCATTACCCCCCAAGAAACCCTGTACCTCTATACCTGTTAGCGGTCACTCCCCATGGTCCCCATTGCCAAATCTGAAGTCATGAAGATTTATTTTTATATTTTCTTCTAAGAGTTTTTTAGTTTTAGCCCTTTTAGGTCTTTGGACACTTTTTTTTTTTTAAGGAAAATTTAAACTTTAGGTTGGGCGTGGTGACTCACGCCTGTAATCACAACACTTTAGGAGGCTGAGGTGGGTGGATCACCTGAGGTCAGGAGTTCCAGACCAGCATGGCCAACGTGGTGAATGGTGACAGCCCATCTCTACTAAAAATACAAAAATTAGCTGGGTGTGGTGGCACGCGCCTGTAATCCCAAGGCAGGGGAGGCTGAGGCAGGAGAATTGCTTGAACCCAGGAGGCAGAGGTTGCAGTGAGCTGAGATTACGCTACTGCACTCTGGCTTGGGTGACAGAGCAAGACTCTGTCTCAAAAAATAAAAATAAAATAAACTGTATTACCTGTTACCTAAAACATGAGTACTATGTACATTCTGAATCAAAGAGCTACAAATTATAGTGCCAGCAGTTAAATGTGAATCATACTCAAGAATTTCTATATTGGTAGTTTTCTTTTTTTTAATGAAGTTTCATTTGATTCTGATAGACTACTGTATGCCTGATAACCTAGTGAGAATCCATGAGTTTGGTAGTTCACACCATTTTAGAAAGCACATAATAGTAACATTCAAATAAAGCATTATAGAAAGTTTTATAAAGAATGAAGTGCTGGTTGGGCAGGGATGGGTGGGACAAAAAAAAAAAGAAAAGAATGAAGTGTTTACTATAATTTATTTTATTTTATTTTTTTGAGACTAAGTCTCGCTCTGTCACCCAGGCTGGAGTGCAGTGGCACAATCTCGGCTCACTGCAAGCTCCGCCTCCCGGGTTCACGCCATTCTGCTGCCTCAGCCTCCTGAGTAGCTGGGACTACAGATGCCTGCCACCATGTCTGGCTAATTTTTTGTATTTTTAGTAGAGACGGGGTTTCACTACGTTAGCCAGGATGGTCTCGATCTCCTGACCTCGTGATCTGCCCGCCTCGGCCTCCCAAAGTGCTGAGATTACAGGCGTGAGCCACCGCGCCCGGCTTGCTATAATTCTTTTCAATCTTGAAAAATCGATGGATTTTTAAAATATCAGAAGACAAGGAAAATGAATTCCGCCCCACCCAAAAAATATACATAAGAACCACTTACTGGCACTTGTATTTTAAGTACCTGGAAAAAAACGGGACAGATTTTTAAAGGCAGTTAATAACAGCTGTTACTGTTGTAACCAAGGGAGTTATAGAGAAACGCCACACTTTGAGACAAATTAAGGAGTCCTTTATTAGCCAGCGACCGAGAGGCAGCTGATGCTCAAAATTCTCTCAGCCCCGAGGAAGGGGCTGGTTTTGTTTTTATACCGTAGTCTAAATAGGGGAGTGGGGGGAATTTAGCTGAAGCAATTTTTACAGAAGCAGAACTGGCAAAAAGTTAAAAAAGTAATTGGTTACAAATGCAGTTACAAAAAAACCAGTTCCAGGTGCAGGGGCTTAAACTATCACAAAGAGATAAATGCAGAGGTTTTGGGTGCCATCCACCGCGCGCATCCCCAGGAGCTGCTGGTGCAGCTTGCCTCAATATCTTATCAGTAGGTGCATTCCTGGACATGCTTTGAGTCGGTTTACACTAGTTATGCACTTAAGGGAGGGAGGTAAAGGGGGCTGCAAGTGAAGAAACTAAAATGGAGTCTGTCCGGCTATCTCTTCTAGGAGAGAGTCCCTCAGGTTAAAACAGGGTAGGATATCACATTACAAGGGCTTGTTTCATTTGATTTAGCACCAAGTAAAGTAAGAGTAAATATGCCATGGAAGACATAGTTGGGTTTTTCCTCCACTTCTCATATTGCCTCACTTCTCCTACCAGACCACACAGTACATCACCAACCATCCTTGTTGCCCCACTATGGAATCACTTTAGATTCCAATTTTTAAATGGCCGGTCAGATGACACCAGTAGAATTCTTTCCCCTTAAGAAAAGGTGGTAGTGAATGCCAAGACCAGCTTGGTAGGGGAGACTCTAACCCAGCAGCGCTAGAGGAATTAAAGACACACACATAAATATTAGAGGTGTGAAGTGGGAAATCAGGGGTCTCACAGCCCTCAGAGCTGAGAGCCCAGAACAGAGATTTACCCACGTATTTGTTAACAGCAAACCAGTCATTAGCATTGTTTCCATAGATACTAAATTAACTAAAAGTATCCTTTATGGGAAACGAAGGGATGGGCCGAATTAAAGGAATAGGGGCTAGTTAACTGCAGCAGGAACATGCCCTTGAGGCATAAATCGCTCATGCTATTGTTTGTGACTTAAGCATGCCTTTAAGGGGTTTTCCGCCCTGAGCAGGCCAGTTGTTCCTTGCCCTCATTCCCATAAACCCACAACCTTCCAGCCTGGGCGTTAGGGCCATTATGAACATGTCACAGTGCTGCAGAGATTTTGTTTATGGCTAGTTTTGGGGCCAGTTAATGGCCAGATTTTGGGGTACTTGCTCCCAACAAGTGAATGCTAACAAGTATCAGTTTCTTTGATCAGAAACAACTCCTTCAGGAAGTTCACTTACTTTCCTGATCCTTGTTAATGTATCATGTAAATCATTTTTATTGGCACACCTGCTTACTAATTATGGTTGATTGCTATTTATGGCAAAGGAACAATCCCCAGGCATGCCTGATCGATTTACTAATGACAAAGTGTGCTTACTTTACATAGTGCCATGGGTTTTCTCTTTTTCTTTTATTTTTGGGAGGGCGGTACAACACTTTGTTATTTATCAGGGCAGATCTCATATATTTGAATCAAAAAGAGAAACTGGTAAGTAAATCCTAAAACATATTTCTTAACCTGAGTAACATCTGTAAACATAGACTTTAATTACATTTTCTTGAAAAATTCATTCAACTTTGGTGCTTATCCAAGAACTTATAATGTCAATTTCTGACATAAATAATAACCCTCAGTACATATGTATTTTCAAAAGAAAACAAGTGATCTTAAAGTAGTATTTTTATCTATGCTAATTATACATTTTTATAGCAAATTGAAAATTCTGAGCAAAC